TATAAAAATATCCCTAGACTTTTCCGATGTGTGTATTATTATCGGTGGATGTGATTCCTTGTAGTCTGGATCAAATATCATTCTGATGAACTTTTTTGTATCATAAAGAGCCTGAATATTTCCGTGGACTTTTCCCAATGATATTCTAGCCGATACCATGCTATGTTATATACCAAAGCATAAAGTCAAGTTCCAGAGCTAAGTATCATGCTGACTGTGACTTATTCATATCTATACCACCGATATTTACTGAAAGGATTCGGTATTGGCCTGAGAGGACACTTTTTTCTGAGTATTGTCGATCAAATAATTGTGTGTGTGAATTACTTCATAACCGATCGCATTTCATTTTGGAATTCAGTGGGGGTGTCAGCTGCAACAATAATTGCAGTTTCATCCACATGAATGGAGGTCCATTCCCTGCTTGATATGAGTGGGCAAAACATTCACATAAAGCAAACAGAGCAACAGCCCTAGGACATCACCTTGGGGAATACCAAATGTCGAAGTCGGTCATTACCCTCAAGATGTATTCAGGTAATTCAGGTAATTGCCAATACTGATGCATGTTAATCTTTTTGAAATCCGTTGTTAGAAGGGAACGATTTTTCTCTATTGTTGTGTTGTGTTTGGGCTCTGGTTTTCAACATAGTTGGGCTAAGTTTATCGGAAAGTCGAAGTGGAGCAATTATGCAAAAGTATTTAGGAATATTTATCGCTATTCATGAAATTTGAGAGTAAGTTGAACTGGCCATTCAAAAGATTTATTGCGTACAAAGAAACATGACTATTATTAGAAGAAAGCGTTCATGTTCCAAACCATAAACGTGCAGTAAAATATAGAAAACTTTGTTTGTAAAAAATTCCTATGAAATATACTCTTACTTGTATTACTAAGCCACAGCTAACTATATTGTTTATTCTTAAAAAAATGGTTACATAAAAATGGTTGAATAATGGCGATAACAAATTAACTGAAAACCACAAAGTCAAAGAGTGTGGTGTACGTGGTAAATAGTGTCGATTAATAATGTACATAAAAATACAAAAAAATAATTAAGGGCATTAATGAACTTGATAACGAATGATAACAATTTCTATACAGTTATACCATCATTGGCACATTGGCGAAATATGACTCAAGTGGGCGGAGTCTTTCAACACAGAACGATTTTACGTTTCTGCGCTGACTCATCTCAGTTGGCGTTTATTTCTCTCATGAAATTGCCTTGTAAATGGTTGATAATTCTGATCAATGAATGCTTTATTATTTGTGTCACCGTAGTGTGCGCTTGTCAGACCCTATCCCCCGAAGCCCCGATACATTTGGGAGGGCGCGCCAGCATTATCAACCAACTACCACTACCCACACCGTGGGGTAAGTAATCATTGGGTCTGAGAATCATGTGCCCTGAGCAAGCGCAGTGAGCGAGCACAATTTCACAAATGAAACATTAAGAAGACAGATGAGTTTAGGTGAACATTGAAAAATCTAGTAGAATTTACAGGCTAACACTGTAGAATTCATGGATCGAAAAATAAGCTTTTTAGATCAGAAGGTATGTACTTCGGAACTTTTTGATATCTGTGCTATTTTTTAGAATGGTAGGAAAGTGATCATCTACTTTAATTGCGAATTTTGGAATAGGTAAATAAAGCATATGGTTCTGTCTGGGGTCGTGACAATTTGTTCCGGGAGTGTACATGTCAGTTTTATTTTTATGAATTGAGCATACTGTTTCCATTATATACAAACCGGTAACAGTTAATATTTTCTTACTGATGAATAAAGGCTTGCAGTGCAGTGCAGTAAATTACAATGGCCCCACAAAGCTATTCCGTAGCGAATATGAGATTCGATCAATGCAAAGTGAGCCATTCTAGCTATATTGTACCCTAATTCATTTGATATCACTTTAATAGCATAACATCCACTAGATACTTTTTTACCCAAATGGGATACATGTTCTTTGAAAGTTAATTTATTGTCTATGTGAATACCTAGGAATTCAGTGTGCTGTTTGTTTTTTGAAAATCTATTTTTGTCATATTTGATACCTGATTAATTTCTTTATTACTTCATATAATAGCTGTATCGTCGGCAAATACAGTAAATGTTCCTGCGATGTTGATGATTATTAGTTCATTCAAATATATTGGAAACAACAGTGTTCCTAAAACAGACCCCTGAGGTACTCCACGTCTTATGTCACTAGAGATGAACAAGTAGAAAAATTATAATTCCAAAATCATTTTCTTCCGGTTTTTTGTGTAGGAGAATGAGGCTACACCCTGACTTTCTCCTCTCAGTGCCCTTTTGGGCCGTATACAAACATTTCGGCGCAGCCGGCCCTGACAATTCGTTCGGCTCCCATCCCGGTGCTTATCACGACTGTTTTATCGGGTTTTAAAATTGTTGCACTTCAGTAATCTTTTTAATTGTACGGATACGGTGCCAATGTCGCTCCTCCGCGATTCCGGGCTAGCGTCGTCACCCGGAGCCAGATTCTTGAAGGGCCTCCTTTGAGCGACACCTTTTGATCGGTGGCGCGTGGTATCTATTGCCCCCGAAGAGGGGCCTTGCGAGCCGTACCCGCCGTAAAAACTCTGATACTAACATAATTAAAGTACAAGCAGTGTAATTTCACTTAATTAAATTCCCTTTTCGGCGGACTGTCGAGTGACGGTGTAGCGCCTCACGCTGAAGGGAGACGATATGAACTTTTTCCACCCGATGAACATTAAAACTCGGCATTTAATTTCATCAGAGATCTAAGAGAAGATTTTTGACCATAAAAAGGAGAGACACTGGCTCGTTTCGCTGCGACTTGTTGAGATTGCGAGGGTTTGCCATTGAACAGATGGACATTTAGCCGCTTATCGTCTTCGCAAGCGAAAATAAAAACATGAAAATGAGATAAAAAAGCAACAGCGACAATGTGGAATGAGCTATAGATTCCGTAATTGCCGTGCGGCGAAATATTCATTACCATCTTTAAATAAATTTCCGAGAGGGTGGCAAAAATTGCGTCTTGGAATTAACAACACAGGATCCAGTTAAAATTTTTGCACCACCAGAAAAATTATTAAACTTTGAAAAATCCATATTATTCAAGTTATAACACAGAACAATCTAATCGAGAACAAAGTCACGACATTGTTGTAGTTTAACTCAAGAACAACTGATTTTTTATTTGTTCGATTTGTCTCTACTCGGAACAGTCGAATAAGTATCGATACTTGATAAAATCGAGAAAAAATGTAAATATTGACGACCAATAAGAAATTTCGTGTATTGGTATAGATATGTGGATGATATCCTGTTATATTTCACAGGAACGAAGAGACAGTTGACAAACTTTTTGAAGTTCATCAATTCTCTCCACCCTTCAATCACACAATGGAGATGGAACAGGACTCTATAAGTTTTTTGGACTTGACAATAACAAAAGTTGACAACAAACATGATTTTTCAATTTATTGTAAACCGGCACATACAGATATTAGATATCATTCATTCGTCCATATCAGCATAAGGTAGCAGTTTTCAACAGTATAATCCACAGACTGATAAATGTGCCCTTGTGAGAGGCGAATTTCAATAAAGAACTGGATATAATAAAGCAAATAGCCGTCAACAATTATTACGATAGCGGTCTAATACATTCTTTATTATCAAAAAAATTATACAGCCAAGCTTTGAAAGAAGTTTACCCAATTCGAAAAGAAGAGGATGAAGGTAATAGAACGTTAACCTGCTTAGGCCAACCCACTACAAATATTTCTGATTTTCTGCACAGCAAAGGTGTAAATACTGCTTTCAAAACCAACAACAACTTAGGCATGCCATTAGGAATAACAAAGATAAAAGTTCAGTTTCAGAAAAAACAGGAATGTATAAATTATCGTGTGGGTCATGTCCGATGTTTTATATAGGTCAAACTGGAAGAGCGTTCGAAACCCGAATAAAGGAACACAAATATAGTTTTCAGAATGGAAAAGTTAATTCCACATATGCCAGTCATTTAATCTCAGAGGGACATGAGTTCAACCATGAATACAAACCCCTTCATTTCCTGAAGAGAAGTTTGAAACAACCTGTTGGAGAGTATGGAAATAAACAAATTCAAAAACTTTCAATATCTTATGAACGATCAAACTGAATTGAATAATTCGCCATTATTGAATCTGTTCATTTGCAGGCAAAAATAGTTAGGTATATTTACAGGTATACTTTAAAAAAAAAATGTATTGATATTGTTGATGAATTCATAGATTTTTTCAGGTAGATTCTTTATTTAGGTAGACGAGTAGTATGAAACGGTTGTAATTTAGAAGTAACTCTCAGTTTGTGCTTGAGGACGCTGTTGTATAGCGAAACACGTGTCGCGGTTTTTGTAGAACCCTTATATTGAAAATCATACAACAAACTGTATTTATTAGTTTTTTTATGACATTTGTGACTGTACGCGGAAGAATATTTGTTGTATCATAGTAGAAGTAGAATTATTCACAGCAAAGCCATAATGCAATTAGACTGTGGAATATTGCGAATCAATCTACTGCAGATGAAGAAGAAATTGCACGTGAGGAGCGCCGTGTTTGATGTTGCCAGGTGTACTGTTTTAGTAGTACATCTCTTGTTTTAGATCTCGAGCTACTGTTCTACTGTTTGAGTGTTAAAATCTACAGATGATTCAGTTCAATTTCATTGATAACTAATACACACGAAACTCGGATTTATTGAGCCACCTTTGGGGAAAGAAGCAGATGAAACCCTTGAGAATGAATGACAATAATAATTGTTATCAATGCATATCAAATGACAAATATGTTAATTTTACACCAATAAAGGTCCAGTTAGCAACAGAGATACTTTATTTTTTCACTAGAAAAATCTAATGACCATCTATAATCTGATTAATTTTTGAAGTTCAGAGAATTGCAAATTTTAAGATATATACGTGATTGCACACTTCATAAAAATTGTGAAGGCTTACCGTGATCAAAGAGAAATGTGGTTTTAGCAAGGGCATGGGCAGCTGGTGGAAGTCCCGGCATGGAGAAAGTATAACCCCCATTACTGTTGAAATTGGCTCCAAAAAGGGAACCTACTGAAACAAACAAAATATCTTCTATATTTCCCAGAACCCATCATTATTTCAACTATTAAAAAATTCATATAGAAAATCAGTTTGAATACAAGCAACGCTCTGAACAAAATATATATCAATCACATATTACACTTTACATCACTCATACGTAAACACCTAATTAGAAAACATTAAATGAAATTCCTGAATAAATCACAAATGTTTCGTTCGCTAGGTTATGTCAAGTCTAAAGTGAGTGTGCTCCTCACAGGTGCCTGCCCCATCGGGACACCTGAGGCCTGTGAGGAGCAGACCTGTGAGGAGGCCTGTTAGACATCGTAGTTCATCCCTAATGTAGTCCAACTGTTTGGTATCAAGCTTCGAAGGGTGAATAAATGCTTCGGAGTGAGCGAATCCTGGAAGATTCGGCCAGAAGTCCATAAATCTTCTTGCCATCCAGATGTTCAATCTTTGTTTGGCAAAGCCTAAAACGATGCCAATGGTTCGATGAAGCTGCTTGCAGCACTCTCCTTTGCAGGAGAGTCGGCAGCTCCATTGCCTTCCAGGCCAGTATGGCCAGAAATCCAGACCAGAGACAATCTATTAAGTCTTGCTATCGAGGAGAGTCGTTTTTGGCAGTTTGCTACCAATTAAGACGTTGCTCGGTAGAAGCCAAGAGCTTCCAACGCCGCTTGACTGTCCTAGAATATTTTCATTGACTTGTGTATGAGGTTGGATTTTTCCAATCTCTCTGCACATAATTCAATAGCGTAAATGTTCCGCTTGAAATAGAGTCGCATAGGTTCCTAGGCAGGCAGATATATCTGTCCTGGGTCTGCGACTAAAAACACCTGTACCGGAAGGTATTTTTGATCCATCTGTGAACCAACAACTATCTCATTGAGGGAAAGAGGCGTTAGATTGTCAAATTTTCTCGTCCTGGTGAAGGGAATTATCACAGTTTTGCTGGTGTTGACGGACATCTGCTCCTTCAGGCACCAACTGTGAACAACGTCCAACGTGCTTTGGACCTTGCCAAGATGACAAGGTCATCTGCATATGCTTGCAGATCTACTTTTTTTCTGTCGAGGGCATCAAGCAGACATCAGAAGGGGAGATAGTAACCCACTTTGAGGGAAGCCCCTGGTGACCCTATACATAATGGTCTCGCCTTAAAGAGACGTAGTTGCTGCGTTCTCTAATGTGGCCTTCATCTTTACGAATTCGTTTTGTGCAGTGGGGATCAATGTGCTGGCGTCAATGTTTTGGTTGGTTTCCGGGTTTTCCAGTGGTCTTCTTTGGTTACAGTCTCCAAAAGTTTCAACTGCGACAGTCATCTTCAGTGTCGTGGTCGACACGTCAAGATGAGTACTTCGACCACGCTCCTGAAGATGACTGCCGCAGTTGCCGTTGAAACGTTTGGAGATTATAACCAGAGAAGACCACGGAAAAACCAGGAAAGCAACGAAAACAAAAATATATTTGTGATACAACACCACACAGAACAACTGTTTCATAACTAATGATACATATTCCAATATGAGTATTAGGAATGTCATCTCGTATACTATCGAAAAAGAGCCTTTGCAAACGTATTGCAGTTTCGGGTAGGCGCTCCAAAGTGGGTATGGAGAAAGTTCAGAATCTGCTTTGTAAAAAAAAACAGTTTGCAGAAAGTCGAGGTTCTAATTCATTCTGTTCATCGTGTTTTGTACGCTTTCATCTTCAGTTGTAAATCTGTGATGAAAGTACATTGGAGTAAGGAGAATGGTTTTCTGTACTTTCGTTACGGAATGACATTTCAGTATATTTGTTCTACTTTCAGACTCAGAATATAAAATAGTATTTTGGGAAGATTCCCACATTTTTTTATATAGATGGAAAAGAAGAGAGACAAAACCTCTCTCTCCACTTCTTTAACAGCTCTGCAATATATTTTGTTTCCAATTACGTTTCCTGCCTAAGAAGAATCAGTTTTTTCCTATCCCTACACAATATTTTCCATAATCAATAACTTTTTTCATCTACCATCTAATAATTAGACATGAAAATATGTTTTCTACATTTTAGTGTTTGTTACGGAATCACTTTTTGGTAACGTTTCATGTTTAATCATAATCAGTAAGTAATAACGTGAAATTATATGGTTTCAAGCTTAGAATTCCTCTTTGTTTCAAAATGAATCCAGATCCATAAACAACCAGTTTGGCTGAAAAAAGCAAAATATACATTACCTCAGGTAGTTCATGTGAACTTAACATCGTATTTTAAGTTTCCTACAATTATACAAATGGATGTATCGCATTTGAATATAAATTGTATTGAAACGTTGAATCCAGAGTTTGGTATAGTATTGTGTGTAAATTGTGACTATTAATAACATGTAGTGGAGTATCAATATGTCCAATCGAATAAGTACGCATCTACATAATTCATTTATTTAAATATCCCTCTGGTCTGGTTATTACCTTATCATCCAGTCATCGGTCTCAAATATAGTACAGTCGAATTGAAACCGCTAAACGATGAGAAATCACAACAAAAATCTATTTCTGATTTCAATACAAACAACCAAGCAAGAATAGTATTAGTCGAGTGCATTCTTATGTCCACTATTTCATTTTCTATTCAAGCAATTCCATTTAGGTTTCCTCACGGTTCCACGTTGGGGCCATTATTTTTCGTATCCTCTATCGACAAATTCTATATAAGAAATTTATAATGCTTGTATCGGGCAACAACAAGAAAATTTGAGGTGCATTCACACTTGAAACAAGAGATAATAGTTCACATTGTAAATTTGATGAGTTTGATAATTTCCTGTCAGCTGTCAAGGCTCTACTGTTATATGACGTTTGTGGAAATATTAATAAAAAAGAGTTATCAGCAGCAGTGTTCTGTGACTTTTCTAAAGCCTTTGACTATGTAGATCATGGAATACTGCTGTAAAAAACTATATCACTATGGCATCCGTGGAATTACTCACAAGTGGTTCAAAAATTATCTCACAGGAAGAAGTCAGATTGTGAAAACCCCATCATCCTCATCAGAAGGCGAAATAAAAAATGGCGTACCACAAGGTTCAATACTGGGACCGATACTTTTCCTGCTATACATAAACAATTTAGCATCTATCGATATAAAAGGAGAATTCACCCTATTTGCTGATGACACCACAATATTGTGGCGTGATAAAACTTTATGTAATCTACACGAGAATATAAGTGCAGATATAAAAAAAATAAAAAAGTGGTGCGACTCTAATCTGCTGTCTTTCAATGTATCGAAAACAAATTCAATATCATTTCGCTGCTTTATTGACAGCATTCCTTTAACAACACAGGACGCGGACAGGATAATTTAAAACAGACCTAGTACTAAATTTTTTGGGGGTAATAATTGACAATAAACTCAGATTTTCCGATCACATTGTAACCCTCAATAAAAAGCTAGCTTCAGGGTGTTTTGCAGTGAGAATAACATATAAGGATCTTGTGTTGTGTACTATTCAGTTACACCTCTCGAAGCGAAGCAGTAACTCGTCTTGATAATGCCATCTGAGATGATGGCGAAACGTCGACTATCGAATAGTACACAACGGACGTTCAGAAGTGCTTCGACAGTTTGTTATTTATCTTTGTAAGTGGTGGTGTAATATGTTACAACATTGGAAAGTTTATTAGTATTTTTAGCAAATAAATATGCGCGAAAATGTTTCGTTTTGACATTTGTCAACTCCAGAAACTGTCCTTTTTTTCATCAAAAATAATCTTCATCGAATTCACCGTAAATCATTCAGCGACATCTTTTGGCAGCTTTCACGAACTATCGGTGAAACGCGGATAAGGAAATATCAATGATACACCGTTTCGAATGCTATTTGACTGTACTAATATGTAGGCTCAGTCATTGGATAGCCGGATTTCAGTTTCTTACATCTGCCGACTACCGACTGTCACCATTCAGAGAAGATCCAAGAGCGGACAGAAGCCTTTTTCCAACTGTTCATGATGCTTGATCCATGCGATTTATTTGCATTGACCATCTTTCATCTGCCTTTTGACATCGAAGTATATCCATATATATTCGAAACGTATATTTTTTTTCTTTTTATTCATTCTGATGTATGCATCTCTTCCTTGATGCATTTAAACAATGTACTCGCTTTTCAGCGAGATTCGGTAATTGTAATGGTATGGATGCTGTTGATCTTTTGACTGACAACAAGCGTAGTTCGATTTCTGTGTCCAGTTATTTATATTTTACCGGTTTTTGTGAAACCCCCAATCATAGAAAAAAATGTACCTAGTTCTCATGTGGAAATTCCAACAAAATAACAGAACCATTATTATGAATCATGTGACTGATTAAGGCAGTTATTGAACATGTTACAGTGTTTCAACCTGATGATATTCTTATCGAATTCCACTCTTCTCTCACACTTCTGAGAGACATATTTCAATTCAGTACTTTGTAGGCTATCCATTCCCAATTGGAACAGCAAAAAAAATAAGATTACAGTCATAAACATTTCTTGCCTGTGGCCCTAGTCGCCCAGATAGTTAGTAAACGTGCTATCAAACGTAGTTGAGGAATGAAGGCTCGGCTAGCTGGACTGGCTGAATACTAATTTTTTGTCCGTTTCACAATATTTCTTCATCAGTGCCGTGTGTCCGTGGGGTTAGGTGAGGTAGTGAGTGGTTTTGCAAACCGATTTTTGAAAACTTTTTCTAGAGATCAATTACCCTAACACCAAACTGATATTTTTGCACTCGACGCGCGTTTC